AGCAATTCCCTCACTCATGATCGGCGACTACACGCACTCTAACATTACTTGTGCAAGTCAGGCTACCCGTGTCCTTTTAACGAAAATTTCCATCACGGGTTTGCCGAAGTCAGCTCAAAGACCTCTCCTGACACTGATGGCACAGAAAATATCATCACCCACGATAAAAAGCTAGTTGAGTGAGCATCCTAGAAACACGGGATCATACCAAGGTTAGTGTTAATGACTTTGAATTTTTCAAAAGGAAAGAATAGGGAAAGCACATTTTTAGGGTCTGCTGGTAGACTTTGGGCAGTAATCATTTTTCTGCTTCCAGATGACAATTTAAAAATGTAAATCGTGATACAAAGCGAGTCATACAAAGCAGTTACATTCCAGCCCAAGTAATTATATCAAGATTAAGAAAGATTATATCGGGATTACTCGGGAGGGTTAGAAAATAATCCCTTGTTTTGCCACTGAGTTCACTGTGGATAATCCAACCAGATAAGAAAGTTCTCTTTTAATCCAAGTTCTTAAATCTTCATTTTTTCCTTTGGTTGTGTTAGTTCTAAATCATGAATGGGTATTTTCTAGCTATTAAACTGATTATTCTGGTTCAATCCTGTTAATGGGATATATTACATTAACAGACTTTTGTAAGATTGAACTAACCTTGCCTTCCTGTGATAAATCCAATAGGGTGGTTTATAAAATACCAAATTAAATTAGCTTTTTAAAAGGAATTTTAAATCTATGTTCCTAAGTGAGACTGACTTACAACCCCCCTGACCCTCCCCTTTTTTTTTTTTTTACTGTCCTTGCCCCTTTTTGGTATCAAGTATCCTAGCCTTATGGATTGGTGGGGACATGTTTCCTTCTTTTCTGTTCTCTGAATGAGTTCGTAAAAGATTGGCATAATCCTTGAATGTTTAGTAGAACTTGACTGTAAAGCCATTTTTGGTCTGTTGCTCTGATATTAAGATTTTAATAATTTTTTTAAAAAAATATTTATTTATTTTAGAGAGAGAGCATGTGTGATTGGAGGGAGGGTGGGGGCAGGGGGAGAGGGAGAGAGAGAATCTCAAGCAGACTTCCCACTGAGCATGGAGCCCAACATGGGGCTCGACCCCAGGACCCTGAGATCATGACCTGAGCCGACATCAAGAGTCAGCCAGGTGCCCCCAAGATTTTAATGATTTTTAATTTTTCTAAGCAGCTCTGCTGCTCCCTCCCTCTTGCTGTTGCTGCCAATGTTTGCAGTCTGTGAAACATTTCCATACAACTCAGCCCCTATAAGCTTGATAGGTAGGACATAAATGGAAAACTGTACTTTTCAAATATACCTGGAACATTTACAAAAATTCATTTTATGCTACATCCTAAAGCACATCTCAACAAATTTCAGAGGAGTGCTATCATATTTTCTGACCACAACAAAACTGTTAGAAATCAGTGTCACTAAAGATAATAAGCCATAATGATACGGCTCAGGCTTTCAATTTCTTCCTGATTTAATTTTGATAAGGTATTTTTTTCCTATAGGAATTTACCCATGTCACGAAGTTTAAGAATTTGTCATAAAGCCATTTCTGATTTTCTCATATGTCTGTAGTTATACCTCATTTTAATTTTTAATATTGTTTATTTGATCCTTCCATTTTTTTGTGATCGATATTACCAAAGATTTTCCATTTTATTAGTCTTTTCAAATAAACAGCATTTAGCTTTGTTGATCTTCTGTACTGCATGACTGCTTGCTCTTTGAGTCATTTCTGTCTTGTTTTTATCCTTCCTTCTTTGGGTTTATTATTTTTAGAAAGAGTTGGATGTTTACTCCTGTTTATGTTTTTCTTTTTTCCTAAAATATGCATTTAAAAATTTTAATTTTTCCTCTAGGTTGTTTCAGCTGTATCCCACAAGTTTTGCTATGTTGTATTTTAATTATCAATCACTTCTAAGTATTTTAAAATTATATTTCTGATTTCTTTGGACTTGTGGGTCTAGATGTGTGCTTTTAAATTTCCAAATACATAGGATTTATCTTAGTTATCTTTAGTGACACTGATTTCTAACAGTTTTGTTGTGGTCAGAAAATATGATAGCACTCCTCTGAAATTTGTTGAGATGTGCTTTAGGATGTAGCATAAAATGAATTTTTGTAAATGTTCCAGGTATATTTGAAAAGTAGTTTTGCATTTATGTCCTACCTATCAAGCTTATAGGGGCTGAGTTGTATGGAAATGCTTCACAGACTGCATACATTGGCAGCAACAGCAAGAGGGAGGGAGCAGCAGAGCTGCTTAGAAAAATATTTCCTGACATATTTTAGGGTCTTTCACTAAAGAGTGGGGTGGGCATGTTCCCCATTGTCGTTCCAGTCTCAATTTGTCACATAATGTCACCTTCAACATTAGGAAGAAGTGTTAAACACTATACTGCCTGGTTTGGAGGCTTCTTCTCTATGGTTTCTCATCCCTAGTTCCTTAATAAGCATGGTACAAATAAAAATATCATCTCCTAGGACCCATTAAAGCTGTGAGAGCTTTTGGACTGTAGAAAGATGCTGTCTGCATGGAAATACTTGTGACTGCACAACACAGCATGAGCGGAAACTCCGTGCTTACTGCCCGGGGTTGGAGCCATTCTCTGGGAGCCCGGAGCCTCACTGGCCACGTTGGAGAGGGTCAGGGACTAGCCAGCTCCCCGGGACATGCGGCGCCGGCAGAGAGCATTCATGACCTCTAAAGACAGAAGGACTTGATCAATCCTAATATGTCAACCAAGACTTCTCAGAAGGCCAGTTCTATTCAGTCAGTGAGATGAGATTATGACTTGTTTGGGCATGAGTTGGTTGAGAGTTTTCTGTTACACAATCAATTGTGTGCGGTGACTCAACAATGTGTTTTCTTCATTCATCTATTCAGATGGTGGTTGGGGAGGAACTACTACATTAGCCCTAAGAGACTGGTCGCTTAGGTGCTGGCATTAGTTTCAGCTGTGATGTCAGAAGAAAAAAGAAATGAATACTCATTTAACCTGTTGGGGGCAAAATAGCCCCTGTGCCTCAACTCATTTTTCAGGGGCATGGGAGACAGATACAAATGAGTATAAAAGAAAAAGGTTCTCAGAATGCAAGCAAGTAGGGGGAGGCAGAGTGAGGACCCGAGAACCAGAAACTGGGAGCCCTGGGCAGTGGAGGGGACAAGGTGGCCATGGGGCACTTAGCTCAGTGACTTAATCTCTCCATTTGATTACAACTAGGAAGTAATGCTCGATTGAGGGGGGCTCACTAATGCCCTTCCTGGTTTTAATATTCTGTATTTTGTGGTTCTCTTGCTGTAACAATAGTGGTAAAACTGAGCCCATATCCAGTCCAGATTTTGTATCTAAAACAAAATTCCCATTATCATCTTATTCTACCTTGCTTTTTACCGTGAGTGGACCCCACAGCCAAAGCAAAGCATGGGTTTCGCATGAGAAATGGCCAGAAAACTGTGGACTTAAAAGCAAGCCAGTCAGTCATCAGCTGGGCAGAAAAGCTGACTGGAAAGACCAGCCTAATGACCTAAGACCTGAGGGCCCGCAGGGCAAGGCTCGGACCTGGGAGTGCCCCTTCAATGACCTGGCGATTCTCTGAAATCAATCTGAGCTCGTATCATCAGATGCAGAGTAGCAAAACTACATTATACCCCCCCTTTTCCTTCTCCCCAAATGATAAATAGGAGGATTACTGGGGGGGGGGGATTATCTTGTAAAGAGAAACTCAGCACCACAGCTTTTTAATGGACTTTAGTTAGGTCATTACCAAAACCTTCCTGAGATAAATTGTGAGTAGCACAATTTAAGAAATACAAACCACTGGTGCGGGCAGCTGGGTGACTCAGCTGGTTAAGCGTCTGACTCTTGATTTTGGCTCAGGTCATGATTTCAGGGTTGTGAGACTGAGCTCACGTTGGGCTCCACACTCAAAGCAGAGTTTGCTTAAGATTCTCTCTCTCCCTCTGCCCCTCCCGCCACTCATGTGCACACTCGCTCTCTCTAATAAATAAATAAATTAAAAAAAAAAAAAAGAACTACAAACCACGGGGGAAGAAATAGTAGTCCAGGAGAAAAGAAGACAAGGTGCACAGAGAATTAGTGAAGGACGAAATTGCAGGGTACCACTCTGTGTTTAAATGGTTGAAATATGTATAACGCACTGGCTCAGGGAAGGACTTACTCAAGATAAAATGTAAATCGTGGGTGAAAATACACACCTCTCACACGGCGAGTGAGAGTCCCCCTGTGCTCGCTAATTCAAGTCCTCGGACTGGAATACCTGAGCAATACCTGGTTTCAATGAATTAAGGTGGTGGTGGTGGCTGACAGAAGAGATAGAAGGTGTAGGCATGGGGGAGGACAGCAGAATAAATTAGGAGAACAAAAGGAAGAAGAAGAAAAGTGATAATACAGCTCTGAAAAGTCACTCTGTTCGTCTTTCACTTACAAGCACTACTTGTAACACGTCTTCCTTGGAAACCTACAACCCGGGTTCAAATATCCTCTCTCCTTTTCTAGCTTCCCACTACTGCCAGAAAATAACAGAGCTGTTGTGGCTGTTTACTAAGAGTGTGTGTGTGTGTGTGTGTGTGTGTGTGTGATAGAGAGGGAGGGAGGGAGGGAGAAAGGAGGCAGCACAGAGGCACACAGAAAGCACAAAAACAGGAGAGGTAACCACCACCCTGAGGACTCTGCATCAAGGTAAGAGCTGAGCAGGCAGGGTCTTTCCTGCGATCAACTGAATGAAGTGGGTGGTCTATCAAGTGAGGGCCAGATGGGGCACTAACTTTGCTTACGTTTCCCTTGATGACTATTCAGGGTGCTTTGTTAAACAGAGGAGAAAACACAGTCTTTAACTAACCGTCTAAGATCTCGGAGCTGAATTCCCAATCCCACACTTTGGTGACAATTCCAGAAATGTCAGCCGACCGAATGTGGCTATTGCGCTGGTCAGTGGGCATGATCTGGGGCATGCTTACCACTTGCTGTGTGAGAGTGCTTTAGAGAGGAAGCCTGAAAGGACAGCCGTAAATGTTAACAACTGTTGTGTCTGGGTGGTGACACTAGGAGCGATTTCTGTCTCCTTTATATGCTTCTTTTAGGTTTCCAAGTTTGCTGCATGGAGCGTATATTCTTTTGTGAAAAGGAAAATAAAACAAAAATTAAAATGACAAACCTAGACCCAGAAAAACTGCAACTCCCGCCCACGTTTGTCTTCCTCGCTCTTTATGCTCGCCTCAGATAAAAAGGATTTTTTTTTTTTCCCTCTGACTCATTCCTCTCCTTCCTTCTTTGTCTCCACGCTGTGTTGTCGTGTCCACCAGGGTTCTCCCCGCGTTCTCTCCAGGGCGCTCCTTTCTGAGGAGGAGGAGGAGGAGACTGGCTGGTCTTCCACCCGCCCTCCTGTTTCCTCTTCTCACCAGCTGCATGGAGAGAGCCCCGGGGCCCTGCTCCCTCCCCGCGCTGCTCAGTTGGAGAGGCGGATAATGACAGCAGTCTGGCTGGGAGCGTGAAAAGGGCTGTATAGAGGGGGCAGGGTGTGCTGGCCGGGTTCGGGGCGCCGCAGGCAGGGCAGGAGGCTGCCTCTGAGTGTTGGCAGACCGCAGAGAGAAGTCAAGGCCAGGACACGGGGATTCATTTTAGCATCTGTGGCTGGAGGGAGAGATGCTAGCGGGTCCGACGGATGGAAAGGCCAGTGCGTGTCTGCTGCCGAAGCCCGTTTTGATTTACTACATTTAAGAAAAGATCCATTTCACTATAAATCTGGTACTCTTGGTGTCCTAGGGCCTTGAAGTCAGGAGGCAATTTCCAAAGGAGGTGGTGGAAGGGAGGGTCGTTCAAAGGTCATCCAAGGGCTGCAGCTGACAGTGGTGGAAAAAGCAGAGTTGCTTTATCCTGGGGATGCTGCAAATCTACGGGAGATTCGCTAGTTCCCATGGCAGATGTCGGGGAAAGCAGTCAAAGGTAGAAGCCAAACGATTTTAAATGGTCTGCAGGGCAATGTCATTATTTCTACCCCTGGCTCCTACATTGATTCGGCTGCTAGCCTCATTATTTTTCGAAGGGATGATTACTAATGAGGATGCATTTGATGATCGCATTAATTAATGGAAGAGCAGGGTAACTAATTATGAGATGAAGCCTCCCATAGTTAAATTTTATTAGGGCTTCTTCTTCCCTTCCCAGAAGTGAAGAGATTTATTTTCCAAGTTCACATTTAATAAATAAAAGCCACGTGTATGTTATTTTCTTTTTGCTAGCTCTTACTCTGCTAATGGGAAGACCCAATCCGGGGCTATGACAGAGTCGGAAAACAGGCAGTGGGTTCTTGCCAGTAATATTTCTAGCAATCGACAAGCATAGGAAGGGCTGAGCTTTCTGCTCTTCTGACGACTACAGTTCTGGAGCACCACTTAGAGAGTTCCCTGTGGACAGTTTTAGAAGAACAGACAGAACGCAGGGGTTGTGACAGACAGACCTGGGTTGGCGTTCTGAGTCTGCCAGGAACATGCTGTACCCCGGGTGAGCCACTGGACATCTCTCGGTCTCCATTTCCTACCTGAGAAGCTGAGATAAGCACTCAGAGTTCAAGTGCTCCTGAGCTGTGAGCACTGGGGGCAGTGATGTGAATCAGCAGTGGGGACGGGCCTCGTGGGGCAACAGCGGGGGGCCACCTGCTATCAGGAAACTCCCATTTGGATGTGTCCAGACTTGCCATGCAAATCCCGTATCTTCTCGTAAACCTTTCCATTTCTTCCATTTTTTTTTTAAAGATTTTATTTATTTATTTGAGACAGAGAAAATGAGAGAGAGAGAGAGAGCACATGAGAGGGGGGAGGGTCAGAGGGAGAAGCAGGCTCCCCGCTGAGCAGGGAGCCCGATGCGGGACTCGATCCAGG